AAATACTTCTCCATCACTTCAGAGAAAGGCTCTACTTTTGACCACAGTCTCATTCTTTAGAATAAATGGTCCCTATTCTTGCTGGCATAAGCCAAATGAGAAAAAGTCAAAACTTCTAACTTTATAAAAATGCAAAGTAGAGAACGCTGGCAGAGTAACAAGTCAGGAAAGAAATTACTTTTAGAGGAGAAAGGGAAACCAGGGCTGCCCTTTCAAAAGCATCCCCATGATTTACTAAGGTTTTCCCATTTCTCACTAAAATACTATTGTATTGCACCGATAAATGTGCACTTCTTTCAGTGTGATTCAGGATGCAATATATTTGATCCTGTGTGGACACAATACTACAACCATGTTTACCAAAAGGGGCAAAATTAATCTTTTTCTTTTTTTTTTAAGATTTTATGTATTTATTTGACAGAGAGATAGAGCAGGAACACAAGCAGGGGGAGTGGGAGAGGGAGAAGAAGCAGGCTTCCTGGTGGGAGAAGCAGGCTTCCTGGTGAGCAGGGAGCCCGATGTGGGACTCGATCCCAGGACCCTGGGATCATGACCTTAGCCGAAGGCACTCAACGACTGAGCCACCCAGGCGCCCGGGGCAAAATTAATCTTTTAAAAGCTAGGCAATTTCTAAGACTCAAAGATCATCCTGGTAATGGTGTAAAGATTAAATACCACAGCTCTTTCACTTTAAAGTTTACAAAGAAAGAATTGGTCCTTAATATTTAGAATCGTTATCAGCAAACTACCGCCCCCAGCTGGCCAGTTTTATTGCAGAAGACATAATCCATCCATTTATGTATTGTCTATGGCAGGTTTCATGCTACAATGACAGAGTGGTTGCATGAGATTATATGGTCTAAAATATTATCTACCCTTTACAGATACCCTTTACTAAAATATTTAGTATCTACCCCTTACCCTTGCCAACACCCAACTCAGAAAAAATCTCCCAAAATGAAACTCCACACATCTTAATAGGTGCCATGAAACCTCTATGCCTCTATTTGGGCATGAGACATGGTCTCTATTCTCCTTACTTCTCAACACATAGGTTTTATCTATTCTGCAAAATGACTAACTCTGCAACTCATTTCACCAAAATAGTAAAAATTGCTTAACAGTGTCAGGACATTGCATCCAGATTTAAGGGGAACAAACTCCAAATAAATTTTTTTTCCCCCTCTGGGGATTAAGGAGTGCATTTGTTGTGAGGAGCACTGAGTAATGTACAGAATTGTTGAATCACTATTATTGTACAACTTAAACTAATGTAACACTGTATGTTAACTATGTTCTAATTAAAAATTTTCACCTAACCAAATGAACTTCTTATAAAGCAACTACATCTACTTATTAACAGTATTCAGACTAACTGAAGGGAAATTTCACTGAGTTAAAGTTTGCTCTTTTCTCAGTCGTTAAAGAAAACCATGTTAAAATGGAATTAAGGCTATGACAACAAAGGTATATTCCCTACTGAAAAAAGCACTCATATCTAAATAAAAATGCCATTACAGGATCATAAACTTCTTATGCTAAAGCTGACACCTATAATCTTCAAATCATCAATGTCACCTAGACTCACTGAGCTTGTTCTCATGATAGTGCCCATTTAAGGGTAAGAAGCCAAAGAAAGGTTATTTCCCTCTCATCACAATTCACCAGCCCATTTTCTGGTCATCTTTAGCAGCCCAGAAAAATGAAAAAAAAAAAAAAATGAAAGAAATGGAGTCAAACTCCAGCTTAGAACTGTTAAATAGCATGAAATGATGTAACTGTTGGAGGCAACTCTAAAGACTTGAAAGCACTGAAGGCCATCTTTGTAATTAGTTCACAAGGACATGATTTACCATTAAAGTGCAATGATTACATTTCAGAAAACTCATAAACCTCACTTTAAAGATTAAATCAGATTATCAAGCTTAGTTCATAGCTCAACATAATACCAAAAAAATGAAGCAGATTCAAACAGCTCAGTCTTAATTCATTGAGAACTGAGATGCTTCTCATCATATACAACCATTTGGAGTAAGATCCACCTGTTTAATCTAACATGTAATTTTAAAACCACCACTACATGCCCCTTGAAGCTTTCTATTGAGTAACATGGTGTTAAGCAGTGAAAAAACAGCTAAAATTTATGCAGCAGCTGCTACTATGTGCCCAAGATTTACACCAGGTGCTCTTAATGATTTTCATCCTCAAAGTAACTCTTTGGGATATGAACATCTAGAAGCATTAAGTATCTGGATTAAGGTCACAGCTCGTAAGAGGCAAAGCCAGTTCTCAAATCACCATTTTTTGTGTTTTTTGAAGCTTTCCAGTGACACCAATGTGCAGACAAGTTTGGGAACCACTACTCTATGGGTTCTTAAGCACACCAAGAGTTAGGACACTGTTGCACTGAACATGAAGCAGAAGTGTTCTTCCAGAACATCTTGTGATTTAACATACTATAAACTTCCATCATTGTGCCAGATTTTCTACAAAACAAATACTACATAAGGGTAGGTGGAGTGAACTTAACAGGATAAATTAATCATCAAGTGATTAACTGCACAATTTGTCTCTTAACAAGAAAAAACTACAAAACCTTTTAAAGTAGGTAATTACTGAATTACACATTTCCAAACTCTTATCTACAAACTTTTCGGGTCCATGTGTCCCAAAGTGCCCATGTTCTGTAATCTCTTTTGTTGGAGCACCAAACCTTTTAAGTTCTAGCATTCAGCTCTTAGCAAGGAAATAACATTAAGTAGCAAAATAGAATAACCGAAGCTTCTCTGCAGTACTTTGGCAGGCTCGGGGATTTTTCTATTTCTGCCCCGCCCCCACCATGGCCAGGTGGTCATTATAACCTCCAGAAATGTAACTGGTCAAAAGTCATAATATCCAGCTCTCAATTAGTGATATCCTATTACTTAAAAGCCCTAGCAATGTATCCCTAAGTTTATCGTGTAACTTGAAAAACTTCAAAAGGGTGTGCCTTTTCTAAATCCAGGTACTTAGATTCAAATAAAAGCACTTAATAAAACATCTTTTATAAAGTTATGAGTAGATTATGTAGTATCCAAGTAGAATGTGATGTCAGAGTTTTTTTGAGTCAAAAACAAGTCATTTATGAAATATTCCTAAGTTTAAAGTATGTTCATATAATCATATTCTAACAGTACATAATAAACACTAGCAAAAGGAATTTAAAGTATTTGTTTATAGGAACCAGGCCCTTCAAGACACTAATTTTTAATAGTTAATATAAATCTGATTGATTCAATCTGATTATTTTTAGGTTAACACTTCTACATTTATTTCAACTTTAATAGAAATAGATTTATGGAAATATAAATAATTCTAATCCTTAATATAAAGCAAATAAGATACAATTTTTGAAATACTATTTTAAACCCATTACCATAAGATTTTTGCTCATTAATTACATTTCATACCAAAAGGGGGGGGAAGTGCTGAGAGAAGGGAGGTAGTAATAAGAGAAGAATTACAAAGGAGGGGACACCAAAGAACTTCTGGGGGTGACAGGTATTGTTCATTACCTTGATTGCAGTGATGGTTTCACAAGTCGAAGCTTATCAAATTATATACTTTAAGTGTGTAGTTTACGTCAATTTATACTTTAATAAAGTCAATTGTAAAAAATAATCTGCTGCCGAGAAACTGAGTATGAAGCAGCCCAAAGTACTTTTTTTTTTTTTCCAGACCTTCATGGCCTATTCTGAGTTCAACAATTCCACACTAGATGTGCAATTTAACTAGTTTCTGTACTTATGAGCTCCCTTTCAAACAATATGGTCCAAACTCTTTACCAGCTACCCATTATTCAGAGAGCAAGTTAAAATTATGCTAAGCTTTATTTCTATTGAAATACTTTGTATGGATCCACCCACTCAGTAACCAAACTTGTTGCTATCATTTAATAAGAATAACACCACTGTACCTTACCATGCTTACTAAACACATTCGATTATCAATGCCATGAATGCACAATAAACATTACTTAACTGTTGATGAGAATTAAGGCCAAAAAAAAAATTATCTGAATATAAAGCAGAAGATGCCAGAAAATTTTTAAGAAATCTCTTCTGAAAGCTATTCAGTGGAAACAGTTAAGGTAGATTTTTAATGTAAACCACATTTCTCAGGTCCCTTCTAGCTTATGGTTAGCAAATACATTTCCCATCTGATAGATTTCATTAATCTGTTAAACAAACAGTGCAATCTAAGAGTCCCCCAAACATTCATTATGTGATACTGACAAAGCTTTGTCAAAGCATAGATGTAATAGTACATTTAACGCTAGGTGACTGGACTGCATTGTGGTATATTATATAGTAAGAATCTATTTAAAAAGGTAACTTTAAGACCTATTTAATACTTTGTTACCACTCTAACTCATCCTCTGAGTTTTGTGGGGATGAAATTGTGCTTTTGTTTTAATTTCCCCATCACCACCAGTCTCAGTGTGAACAAAAAATCTGGCTTCTCTTGAAAGCTGGGGAGTTTGGGCAGGATCTTGAGGTAGAAACAGCAAAAACACTGCGGCCTTCTGAGAAAATACAATTTAAAACAAGAAAAAACTCTGATGATTAGCTTAATCTAATGGAAAACCTACATTCTTGCTCTGAGATTACACCCTTTACAATCAGCATATATTTAAACATGGATGCAAATGGAATGAGGAAAACTATAAGCAAACACAGATAAACAAAACCAGAAAAATCGAAATACAAATATACAGAGCCAAATTACTCTTCCAGTCAGCAATGAAACAGTAATGATTCTAAAATATGCAAGTGAAAAATAAAGTGACTATTTAACAACATTCATTTAATAAACTTGTTAAGCATTTGATAATAAAAAGGATTTTTTTGTAACTTTTTTTGTAAACTAAGAAAGTAATCAGTATAACTTTGTTTTAATAAGTAAATAAAGCATATTGTGTTTAGAAACCAAAACCTTGAACACTAGAGAGAACAACAATATTCTGAAAATCCAGTTTATTTTCCATGTGTGGACAGATCCAGTCAGTGTGATCAGTTTTTCTGCATGTGTAATAATTTATCAAAATAAGTTTTCCCACAAGACTCTTCCATCAACTCTGAAAGTCCTGGTCTGACAACATATCCAAATAAAGTTCTTGAAAATCACCTCTTAAAATTTGGAAGAAAGTGTGTCAAGTCTTTCCTGTAACGTTTACCAAACTACAAATGGCTAAAGAGCAATTTATGTTTTAAAAGGTGACTAGTACAACACTTGAGTTCAGGAAATTAATGTTTTAGTGCACTCTGCTCCAGTTTTAGCCAACATGCTACATTGTCCTTTTGGGGGCGGGGAGCACAAAGTGGACTTGAAGATTTCCATTGTACGAAAAAGATAGGACTCTGCAAGCAAAACAGTGTAAGCTGCCTTTTTTCTTAAGACCTGTTCGATATTTTAAGACAGAAGCTTTGCAAAACATTACACAATTTTTTTATTATTAAATGAGAAAATCTCATTTGTTACATCGTCACATTGCTAGTCAGAGAAATGCTGCAGTGATGAAGAAAGTCAATGTTGGATCAACCAAAGTCCTCATTTCTACAACATTCATTTACAAAGAAATAATGTTCAACACAGCCCAACACAACATTCTTGGTTTTCTTCATAGTGAAGTCCCTCAAAAAAATCATCTTCTAATGGGGTATTTTACTACATAAATTATAGTTCTTCATTTTTACAATTCACCCCAAACTGTATGAGAGATGTATCACACTAAAATTTCTAAAGCTGTTAGGAAATCCTTCACACATCGTCATCATCTGATGTGTCACTGCTACTTGTCTCTGTGTCATCATTCTCAATAGTGGGTTTGAAAGTGCTGTTTTTCCAGGGTCCAAACTTGAAGTCACAGATGAGGCCATTTTTCAAAATACCATTTTTCCTCAGACCATTCTTCTGTAACTAAAATATCAAAAATAAATATATTTAATACATAATCTATCCTCCAGGGGTTACTTATAATTTAAGAATACTGTAATAATTCAATGTTACCATGAATACATTAATAAAATTGTATTCTACCCTGTATCATTTCTGGAAAACTAGTTAAATACAGTTAATTGATCCAACTGTTCTAACGAAGTATTTCCAAGGAATAAATCCTTACCTTTTAGAGAACCACAATTAACATCCACCAAACCAAAAAGTAAGTAAAATTAGTGTTTATTATTAGCATAGTGGAAAGAGCACAAATTGTCAATCCAGACAGGGTAGGTGTGGACATAACCCTATTCCTTGTTAAGGTACCAAATAACCCTTTCCAAATTTTCATTTCCTTAAGTGAAAGTTGTACTAAATACCTTCAGATGTAACCAGAATAAAATCAGCAGCCATTAAGCTTTAGCTGTTATTATTATTCTGACCAAACTGGACTTTATTAACACACCCCAGAAACTGCTTTATTCACACTTTGCAGAATAAGTAGAATACAAACTATTCCAGTAGGTAAGTATTCAAATAAGGTGCACAAAATAACAAAATCAAATAAAGCCCTTTGCTTAGCCAGAGAGATTCTAATACTGAAAAAAAAAAAAAAAAGTCTTCCATTTCTGAAAATGAGAAATCAGAACTAAAGGGGTTAGATGGTAATAAGTAAGAACTGGGCCCAAAGATCACAAATTGGGGGGGGGGGGAAGGGGTGGTTAATCCAAATTAGAAAGAATTTAAAGACAAAAAATTAAATTACATTAATAATGGCAACACTATACTCTCAAATAACTCTGGTCTTCTAAATTTCTTTCATGAAAAATCAGCCTCTGGTAATTTACACCAAAATCTCTAAATATAACCTTCTATAAGGCCAAATCCACCTCTATATTATTATTTGGGCCTGTCTAGAAGTTTCACATTCTAGAGGGTTTTTTTTCTTTTTTTTTAATCATTAAATCTTGAGTATTAGGTTAGGATCCAAATGAAAAGAGCCACTTACATCACTGCTAATTTTGTTATAGACTCTGACAAACAAGAAATAACAAGTCTAGAGTCTTAGCCCTCAATTGTCCTTTTGCCCTATTTAATTCTCTATTTTCCATAGCATATTTCCTTTCTACCTAAATTATACAATTTAAGCTACCTCCCCTTCACTTTGAACAAATGACCTCATACCACCTTTACGGAGAAAAACCAAAGCCCATGTATGTATCCCCTGGTGTTCTCAGCCACTGTGATGATTACAAATACACCTTGACCCTTTCTTAAAGGTACACCTTTACCATCCCCCAAAGTTCTATCCTTGCTTTTCACATACTTATCATCAGTGCTGCCTCATCTTTCCACAGTCTGAAATCAGCTGGAGAACTTTGATTTTTAAAAAAAAGGGGGGAGAAAATCTTTTAAAAAAAGAAAAAACCCAAATCTTTTTGCTATTTTCTCTATAAATGTCTGCACTGTTCCCACAAACATCTAACTTAGCATGTTCTTTTTAAAGGCCTCCTAAAAAACCAGCTCCTCCTTTGCTCCTGTTTATAATGATACAATTATCAGCTCAAAGGTTAACAAACTGGTAAATCCATACAATGGACTACTACTCACCAAACTCGGGTGAGTTTCAAAAGCATAAAAGCAGCCAAATCTAAAACTATACAGTACTTGGTTCAATTACTGAAACATTCCAGAGGCAAATTATGGTGACAGAACATAAGTCAATGTCTGCCAGAGACTGCAGCTGGGAGTAAAGAATTGAATGCCAAGGGGAATGATGGTTATACATCTGTCACCTGTCAAAACTCATCCCACTCTGCACTTGAAAGTCAACGTTTTTATGTAAAATACAGTATAAAAAAAAAAGACAAAAAAATCTCTTAAAACTCTTACCCATCATTAGCTTCACAACCATGTTATGAAAAATAACATGGTTCACTAAGAACTTCTGAATAAAAAATTTAAATTGGGAAGGAAGAAATATGAAATTGGAAAAGAAGTAAAATTATCTGTTCACAGACAACATGACCTTATATGTAGAACACCCTAAAGATTCCACACAAGAACTGAGAATATAGCAAAGCTGCACACTGAAGATCAACACACACAAGTCAGTTGTGCTTCTGTAACAATAATCCGAAAAGGAAGTAAGAAAATTCTATTTACCATAGTATTAAAAAGAATAAACACTTAGAAATAAATAAGGAATAAACAACCAAAAGGGGCCAAAAATTTCTGCAATGCAACTCTAAGTCACTGCTGAAAAAATTTTAAAAGCACCAATATATGTAAAGACAGTCCATATTCCTGGATTAAAAGCCTTATTATTAATGTGAATATTACATCCAAAGCAATCTACAGATGAAATGCAATCCCTATCAAAATCCCAAAGGTTATTTTCTGCATAAGTAGAAAAACCCATCCTAAAATTCATATGGAATCTCAAAGGATTCCAAATAGCCAAAATAATCTTTAAAAACAACAACTAAGTCGGAAGTTTCATGCTTCCTGGTCTCTAAACATTTCAGAGTTGAAGTCATCAAGACAATGTGGTACTGGCAAAAAATCAAACAGAAAAGACCAGTGGAATAGAAAGCCCAGAACTAAACCCTTGCATATACAGTTGATCCCTGAACAATACAAGGGTTAGGGGCACCAACCCGCCCCCTCCACCCTGTGCAGTCGAAATCCATGCATTACTTTTGACTTCCCCAAAACTTAATTACTAACAGTCTACTGTTGACTAGGAAGCCTTACAGATAACAGAAAGGCAATTAATATACATTTTGTATGTTATATATATTATATACAGTATTCTTACAATGCAGGTAAAAAAATGAAAATGTTAAAGAGAATGATGAGAAAATACAGGTACAGTACTACAATCCTAAGAGAAAATACAGGTACAGTACTGTAAAAAATCTGCATCTAAGTAGACTCATGCAGTTGAGATCTGTGTTCTTCAAGGAGCAATTGCATACTCAAATGATTTTTGACAAAGTTTTGACAGATATATCCAAAAGAATGAAGGCATGTCCTTACAATACAAACAAAAACTAACTCAAATGGGGGCGCCTGGGTGGCTCAGTTGGTTAAACGACTGCCTTCGGCTCAGGTCATGATCCCGCATCGGGCTCCCTGCTCAGCAGGGAGTCTGCTTCTCCCTCTGACCCTACCTCCTCTCATGCTCTCTGTCTCTCATTCTCTCTCAAATAAATAAATAAAATCTTTAAAAAAAAAAAACAAAAAAAAAACCTAACTCAAATGGATCAAAGACTTAAACATAAGAACCAAAACTATGGAACACTGAGAAGAAAACACAGGGGAAAAGCTTCATGACATTCAGTTTCGCAACATTTCTGGAGTATGACAGTAATAGTAGGGGAACCTAACTAAAAAAATAGGTAAACAGGACCTCATCAAAAATTTAAAACTTTCATGTATCAAAGAATATAATCAAAAGAGTAAAAAGGCTATCTATGGAATGTGAGCAAGTATTTGTAAATCATATAGGAGTTAAAATCCACAATACATAAAGAAGTACAACAACCTGATTAAAAATGGGCAAAGTACTTGAATAAACGTTTCTCCAAAGAGGATACACAAATGGCCATGCTCAACATCACTAACCAATACTAGGTGCAAATTAAAACCACAGTGAGATACCCACTTGGCAACCATTAAGATAGCTACTATCGAAAAATTAATTAATTCTTGAGCACCACTGGTGAGAATTAAGATGGTACAGCTACTGTGGAAAAATGGTATGGTGGTTCCTCAAAAAGTTTAACACAGATAACCGTATGATCCATCAATTCCAATTCTACAAACATTTCCTAATACTCTTTTAAAAAAGAAACTATGGAGACAAAAAACAAGATGTTTCAGAACTTGAAATATTTTTATGCAAGGAAAAGGATAAAAGGTGAAACTATATGGGAAGCTACTGATGCTTTTTACTTCTTATCCC